TCAACAAATTTCTCTTTTACAGTGATCGCAAAAAAAGATTTCGTCGACTCCTTAGCCCTGAAACGGCCGAGAGCAGATCTGCAGAACATTGCAACATCTCCGCGTCCAGTGGAAATCGGTAGATTTCTATGAATCAACTGGGGTAAGCAATGGTTGTTTGCCCTTCGCCAGGGATCGTTGCCACCTTACCGCCCGAAACAAAGCATGCTTACAGTACTGTGACTATTCTTGATGATGCAATTGCCAATCACTGTGAATCTACTTGATTACACATGTGTATCTTCATTCTTCATCATGTTGGGTTTCAGAATACTAGCTTTCAATTGTTTTCAAAGTAATGGGGGTTGACCAGAAAAAACTGCCTTCATATTCTAGTTTCATTGGCACAGTACTCATTCGTATTCCTTTTATCTCCTTTACACTTTTTTTTACATCTTACCTCCCCAGTATGTTGCCCCCTCGGGCGCGCAAGAGATGAGGGGCATTTTCGGTTCCTGCACCAGCACCCCCTTCATGACTTCACGCTGAGGGTGTTCACTCTGAAATGGCCAGTTTCTAGTGATAAACTTAATACCCATTGAGGATATTGTCACCTCAGAAAACAAATTAATTGAGCTGCACAGCCACTTGAAGGATGAACAGATGCCAATGTATGGATGGACAAATGAAACCAAATCTTTGGTTCAAGAACTTCAAAAGACATGGACAGGTCGTTTGGCGTTTAGACCTTTTCCAGGCGCTCCTTGACCATCGCGGCCAAGGTCACGGACACGTGGAGATGTTGGCGAACCAATGAAGGACCAAGGGAGCACAAGTGGGAGCACAGCCAGCCTCCCCCGGGTTTGTCTGGTTCGCAAATTGCCAAGCCGCAAATGGTTCAATTATAAATTATAAAGCCAAGGACCCACACAGCATAAAACACCTGCCACAAAGGTATACTTGGCCGGCGGGACTTTGCTAAGTTTAGCTAAGTCTAACTTGGACTTATAAGTACTTAGTAAGTACTTAGCTTGGGCTTAGCTCAGGGTAACTTAGCTTGGACTTAGGTTGGACTTAGCCTGGACTTAGCTTGGTCTCAGCTAAGACTTAGAAGTCCGAGCGAGGTCGAAGCTAAGTGTTAGTTTGTTTGATCAGTTTGAGCTAAGTCAAAGCAAAGTCTAAGGCAATTATTGAAAAATAACAATGAAAAATGAAAACCGAAAGCTCGGTCTGGGAGTGCGCTGGTAGACTTTTCTCTCACGCGAGCATCAAGAGTCATCACCTGAGCATCAACAGCCAGCATCAACAGGCATCACATATTTGAAACTATTTTTAATAATTTGAAAAATATAGTTTTTGGTTAATTACACTGTTAATACTATCATAGTTAGTGTATCACAGTTTAACTAAACTTATATATTGTCAGAAGTCTTCTGACAAATTGTTGTTGACATGTACCTTTTCAACAATATAATAATGTCAGACTTTTTCTGACATCTGTAAGAACTTTCTGACATTGGCCAGAATATTTTTCTGACAAATGTCAGAAATATTTACTATTTACACAAACATTTTCTGACATGTGTCAGAATCTTCTGACAATTGTCTGAATATTTTCTGACATTTGTCAGATTACAATTGTGAGAATATGTTTCTGACATTTGTCAGTTTTTGATATATGTCAGAATATTTTCTGACATTTGTCAAAAATATTGAAGATGAAGACAAGTTCTAAACTTGTCTAAATAGAATTGCGATAATGTTTAAGTCTTTGGGGTGAATGATTCAAAGACTTCAGGATGAAGACAATGTCAAAACTTTATCTCATGTGACTGCTTGACGCACCCTATTTGCGCCAAGTACTCTATAGGATACCGTAGAAGAATCAACAAGCGGCCACGACGCGGAATGTAACAAAGAATAACGGCGCGGCCGTATGCTGGCTGGTTGTCGGTTGGTGGCTGCGTTCGACGCATTTTGGGTTGATTTTGCTTCAATTTTTGAGCCTCGACTTAGCTTTGACTTAGCTTTGACTTAGCTTGGACTTATAAGTCTGAGCTAAGTCGAATCTAAGTCCAACCACTTAACTTTGACTTATAAAGTCAAACCTAACTACTTACTAACTCTTATAGGCTGAGCCAAGTCCAAGCTAAGTAAAACCTAATTTCTATAGAGGTTAGCAGACTTATAACGTTGGTTATAACTAGGTTAGGTATATGTATAACCTAGGTTATAAGTCCACTTAGGGCAACCGCCGGCCAAGTAAGTTATGGGCATCAACAATGTTTAGATTTCGTGTCAGCACTTTTTGTTTGCGTGGCTTACGTGGCACCAACACCTGGCACAAACGAGGGGCGCGTGACATTTGCCTTGTGCTCGGTTACAACGAGGCATTGGCTGCATAATTGACCGTTGTTTTTGTGAAAAAATGTTTCCATGTGTGAGGGGCGCGGAGAATTTGCATTCTTCAGTTGTTGCGGAAGCCCCAAAGTAATAAAAGCAGGGGATCATCGCAAGTCCAAACACCCGTGTAACATCATACACTTTCATTTCAAAACCTATAAACCCCAAGCACCACCAAATCCGGCGAAATCATGAACATTCCGTTCCTGAGGCCGCGGCCAACACACAAACGCCGCCGGCAGCAGCACACGGTTGCGCCGCACCATCATTGGACCGAAAGCGCGAACAAAAAAGAGTTATGCAAATCACCATGTACTGCATAACGTCAAACAATTAACATGAAAAGAAAATGTGGTGCGTAAAAAAAATCATGTGCATACACGCCGCCTTTCACACCAACGCTCCCAGGTGATTCTTCATACCAACTTGTTCACACGCAGGCAAGCTTGCAAGCCGACTTGATGGGACTGCAGAGCGAGAAGCAAAACACACCCCCCAAAAAAGACAACTGTTCCTTCTCTGGATTGTAAGGAACCTGGTGCAACCCCACAAAGCGGACAAAAACCACAGCTACTTCACTGGCGTTGAGCAGGGCAGGACAGCTGATGCGCTGCTGTGTTTGGGCGCGCGAAGCAATCTGCCAAGTGGATACATAGAATCCACTGTATGCGCAAGGTCGCGCAGGACATGTCTTCAGGGAATCTGTCATCTTCGGGCCGTCTTCGGAGCTGGGGGCGTCTTCGGGGAATCCGTCTTCGCTAGGCATCTTCGGGCGGGAATCCGTCTTCGGAGCTGGGGGCGTCTTCGGGGAATCCGTCTTCGCTAGGCGTCTTCGGGGGGGAATCCGTCTTCGGAGTTGGGGGCGTCTTCGGGGAATCCGTCTT